CTCTCCCCCTCCTCAAATTTCCTCCCTTCCCTCAAATTTCCTTCCTCTCCCCCTGACACCCGGCAGGCGCGCGAGGGAGCACTCTCTCTGTGTGCTTCCTCTTCAGCTCCCTCGCGCGCCGCGTACTGATGCCAGCGCCGGAAGATGACGTCATCTTCCGGCTCCGGCATCAGTACGGTGCGTGAGGGAGCTGAAGAGGAACCACACAGAGGAGAGTGCTCCCTCGCGCGCCCGCCGGGTATCAGCAGGGCCAGCCTCTTGTGACTAACGCAAATGTAAAATATGGCGCCAAAATGACATTATCAACACTATTGGCCTTTCTTATTGTCATTTTTTTATGCTTCATCATATCATCATCCTGGTGCCAACTACGAACCTGAAGAATATCCTGCAAGTGGGGATACAATACCACTGAATGCTGTTTTACCTAGAGCTGGTTATAGCTCTATTACAAGTGAGTTGGCATTTTTTAATTTTAGTAGTGCTCGCTACATTTTATATCATATTGCACTGTTGGTTTCTCTGTTTTATGTTTTCTCATATGCTGCTACTGAACAGAATAGTCCCTCAAGCATTTTAAGAATATTTGAAAATGGATTACTTTCTATCTTAAGATTGTATCCTAACATCTGGTATTTATTTGTACTTTACTATAGACTTTATGTCATTGTGCCTTTAGAGACTTTATTTTTTACTTCTGCATTTATTGTTTAATTTTGGCGCTACCTGCTCTCCTGTTTACTTGCCATGTCTGTCTAGATTGCAGTGGATATATTTATGTTCACCTAGCCTGTGTTCCACATACAAAAAAAAAACAAAACAAAAAAAAGAGATGTCTTTCTTGCTCAGAATATTGTAAGTTTAAATCTGTATGTTACTTTCAATATGCCAAGCGGATATATTCTAATTTATCGCTTTCTCTTCTGTATTAACTGATACGTCTCAATAAAAGAAAGATTGACTTAAAAAAAAAATTAGGCTAGGGCTCCATAAACAGAAACAAACATGAAACAAACATGATTTAACTCCTAAATGGCAGAGAAGCAGTGAGCAGTGAGACTTCAGGGGCACTATCTATTTACTAAAACTATTTATTTAAGCTAAAGTTGTTTTTGGTACTTAGAGTTTCCTTTTAGCCAACCTTTAATTTCATTACCAGTTTTGTTTTCAATTGCATCAATCTTTGGCACTTGCAGCTTTAAACACCTCTGTTTGATGCTTCGATAAAGCTTTCTGCTGGATTTGTGCAACATCCGAAGGCCACTGTCAAATGATCCATGATGTAAGAAGCTGTAATGATGAAACTAACCATTCCTGCACTTTTAACTAGAATCCCTCCCTTATGTCATTGCTCTTGTAATAGTTCTGTGCATTATTTATACCCAATTGCCTCTTTACATAATATGAAACTGTGCCACCAACGTTTTCACAGTTGCATGTTTGTAGACTACAATCATGCGGTGCCAACCTTGACCCTATGCTATGCTGCCACATAGTGCTTCATCTGCTATTCCTACATCTTAGTATATCTGGTCTAGTTTGGTTTGCTACTGCATCACAATTGCAGAGGAATCCTAATGTCCCTTCCATATTACATGGACAAAAGTTCTTCTGCAAAGTAGATCCATTCATGCAAACTATGGTATGTGACATTACCTTGCCATAAAATAGGCACACCATAAAAGCCCCAGTGCCCAAAAACTGCCCAAAATAATTGTCACTGGCTTCATCAGTGTAGACAAATCTGGCACTAATGAAACTGCTTTTTTTTTAAATAATATTTTTTGTTTTTTTTAGTAGTTTTATATTAAGAAACAAGTCAATATTAGGCATCTGGCAAATGCCTAGTTTATAATTTTCCTCCCCACAATTGCTTTAGGATGTAATTATTGCTGATGTAGACGGACTTAGAGATTTTTAAAGAACACACTTCGCATAAGCAATGTTTCTAAAAAGAAAAACGAAACAAACAATAAAAACAGCAGTGGACACTAAATAAAAACACAGTATAATAATTTACAGTTTGTAGAAGTTGGTTAAAGTTGCAAATTAGATATATTGTGATATAAAAGTAACAGTCTCTGAGTATTTCTAGAAAACTGCCTGCACTGCTCATAAATCGGCAGTTATGTAATCGGATTTGCCACTAGAGGGGGACAACCACACTTCTAAAAGCTATATTTATAGCTTGCTAGATAATTCAATGCACACATAAATTACAGTGACCAACCCCCACCAGCCATTAATATGAAATCCGGTGATGCTGATATATATTTGACAAGGATTTAATAGATAAAATGCAAATAGAACTCATCATCATCACATGAGTGACAACAGACTGTGGGCTTTACTTAAAAAGGAGTGGATAAACTGAAAAATGAATTTGCAGAATATATACTACATTAGTCTTTCCTGAGAGTATAGTAGAATTATTTACAGATCAGTTATCTTGGCATAAAATAAAAACCAAAGAAAAGAAAAAGTTACCTGCGCTCTCTCCTTAATCCCTATGTATATTTAGACAAATGGAGGTCATTTAGTTGCTCCAATGGCCATTCACGTTGGCAGGCGGGCATTCCCTCCAATGGCCATTGGAGCAACTAAATGACCTCCATTTGTCTAAATATACATAGGCAGGACCGTCTTTAATAACGAATGGACCCTGGGCAAGTGTTTGCTTGGGCCCCCTGTGCCCTGCCGCTCTCGCCCCTCACTCCCTGGTATGCAATCACGGCATCCATCCCAACGCAGTGGCGGTACTAAAGTAGAATGAATTTTATTGGGACCCCCAATTGCAAGGTTGGACTAAAGGTAGAACCCCATCTGTCGTGCAACTCCAACAATGCTTTGACAGCTGGGACTCTACCAATTTCCCATGCTTGCAGGGTTGTATTTAGCACTGAGCCATGTTTGTATGTTTGAATGTAAGCATGTGTTTGTATGGAGTATGTTTGTGTGAATGTGTTTGTATGTGGTACTGGAGTTTGAATGCAAGTGTGCATTTATGTGTAGTGTTTGTTTTTGAATGTAGGAGTGTGCTTGTATGTAGTGTTGACGTTTCAATGCAGAGTGTGTTTTATATGTAGTGTTGAAGTTTGAATGGAGGGGTGTATTTGTATTTAAAGTTGCGGCTCAGATGCACAGGTACACACTCTGACGCACAAGCAGATAAACAGATACATACACTGACTACATACAGATAAACAGGCACATACACTGACAGACATACTGACACAGGTACATATATTGACACACACACAGACACATACACTGGTAGACGTACTGACAGACATACTGACACAGGCACATATACAGACATACTGACACACAGACACATATACCGACATACTGACACACACACACAGACACATACACTGATCAACATACTGACACACATACACTGACAGAAATACTGACACCCACACACTGACAGATATACTGACACCCACATACACTGAGAAATACTGACACACACACACAGGCACATACACTGACACACACAGACTGATATACTGACACACACACACCATAGGCGTGCGCACGGGGTGTGCCGGGTGTGCCTGGGCACACCCTAATCACATCTCTGTGCTGCACTGCCTTAGGGCAGACTAACATGTCAGGTCATGACACAGAAGGGGGCCCGGCGGCTTGCCCACAATGCCGCCGGGTGCGAGGCCCCTCCTGTCAGTCTGCCCTGATGGAGATCCAGCCTCAGTCTGCAGCTCCGCCGGGATTGAGCTGCAGACTGAAGTGTCTCGCGTCTCCAGCCTGTCAGAGCGTTGCCGCGGGTTACCACGGCAACGCTCTGACTGACTGGAGATCGCGAGACTCACCATGTGGTCTGCAGCTCACTCCCGGCGGAGCTGCAGACTGAAGAGAGAGGGCCCCCACTGGACCACCAGGGAAAGGTATTTAAACCCTATGCCCCCTGCCACTCACTGCCCCTCCACCCCCCTACCCCCTGTCAATGCCTCTCCACCCCCCTACCTCCTGTCACTGCCCTTCTACCCCCTCTAACCCCTGTCACTGCCCCTCTACCCCCTCTAACGCCTGTCACTGCCCCTCCACCCCCCTAGCACTGCAATGCTGACCCTCACCCCCATTGCCCCTCTCACCTGCTTCTACCCCCCCACGCCTGTCGCTGCCCCTCCACCCCAGCCCTGTCCACTTGCCCCTCTAACCCCTGTCTGCCCCTCCACCCCCAACCCCTGTAACTGCTTACTCCGCCCCTAACCCATTGTCACTTGCCCCCTCCACCCCCCCTTGTCACTGCCCTCCACCCCCCCCTTGCCTCACTCCAGCTTCTTCACTTACACCCTGTCACTGCTTACTAATCCCTGTGGCTGTCCTCTGCCCAACCCTGTAAGCTTGCCCCTCTACCCCCAACCCCTGCCACTGCCCCTCCACCCCCCTACCCCCTGTCGCCCACACAGTGCACCCCTCACAATCATACACACTGTACCCCACACACTGTATCCCTTACAATTACACACACTGTACCCCTCACAATCACACCACACTGTACCTTTCACAATTACATACACACACTGTACCCCTCGCAATCACACACACTGCACCCCTTACACGCTGCACCGCTCACAATCATACACACACACTGTACCCCTTGCAATCACACACACTGCACCCCTTACACGCTGCACTGCTCACAATCACACACACACTGCACCACTCACAATCACACACACACACTGCACTGCTCACAATCACACACACACACTGCACTGCTCACAATCACACACACTGCACCTATGTATATTTGTATTTGTATATATATATATATATATATATATATATATGTGTGTGTGTATGTATGTACACGGCGTGTGTGTTTGTGCTTTAGGGTGCACACCCTAATGCAACAGGCTGCGCACACCTATGACACACACACAGACATACTGGCACACAGACAGATATACTGACACATGCATACACATGCACTAACAGACATACTGACGCACTGACAGACATACTGACACATACACATACTGACACACACAGATATACACACACATATATACTGACACACAGACAGAAAGACATACTGACACACACACACAGACATACTGACACACACACAGACATGCTGACACACACACACATACACTAACACACACATACACTAACACACAGATACACTAACACACACACACACTAACACACATACACTAACACACACACACTAACACACATACACTAACACACACATACACTAACACACATACACACACACTAACACACATACACAAACACACACACTAACACACATACACTAACACACAAACACACACACCAACACACATACACTAACACACACAAACACACACATACATACACTAACACACACATACACTAACACACAAACACATACACTAACACACAAACGCATACGCACACATACACACATTTTTTAAAAAATGTAATCCCCAACCTCGCACTTACCTTTTAGGTGCTGGGGGTCCCTGAGGAATCCAGTGGTGCTGGAAGCCTGGCATTCGGAGCAGGAAGGCGGTGGCAGCGAGGAGCACTCAGTGGCTACCTCTTCCAGCTCCCCAGCGCCCAGCGTAGGGATGCAGTAGCCGGAGGGCCCGGCATCATCTTCACGGCTCCTCCCTCGCGCGCCCGCCTTCCTGCCCACCTCGGGGGGGCCCTGGAGGTGGCCGCCTCCTGGGCCCCCCAGGGGAAGACGCTGGCCCTGTGGGTGCATACCAGGGTCGCAGCCGCGACCCTGGTATGTACGCCACTGCCCTAAGTGCATGGGCCACCCGGTGGGGGGCCCGGTGGGAGGATGGGGAAAAAAATTAATTGATGAGGGCAGCGGGGCCCACGGGGCAGGTGCCTCGGGCCCCCCAAGAGAAACTGGGCCCGGGGCAGCTGCCCCGTTTGCCCCGTGTTAAAGACGGCCCTGTACATAGGGATTAAGGAGAGAGTGCAGGTAACTTTTTCTTTTCTTTGGTTTTTACTTTATATTGGGGCTGATGTGTACTGTAGTCATTGCTGCCGGCCCAGTAGTGATGGGAGTGAGCGCAGGACTTCTCTTTTTGTATCTTCGCATAAAAGTAGCAAATTAAATGTTTAATTTGTCATCATTTATTCAATGCTCAGTAAGTCCCCATATATCTTTTTTTTTTAAATTTTCTATTTTTGCGGGTAAGCATAAAACATCTCATTGCATCGCATGAAGAAAGGTTATCCATCATAGGTTATACATTTCAACAAAAGTCCTCAACACATCATTGTCTACACCCTAATTTTTTTTCACACTTAGATTCCTCATATCTAGACAAACATTTAGGAAAACTATGGACTGGAGGTTGCTAGCTAATAGCGCTCGCGCCCCCATTATTAACTGAAAAGGTCATGACGGAGGGTAAATGTGCTTAAGGCAGGGCCAGATTAAGAGCCCATTGGGCCTGGTGCTGACAATTATGATGGGCCTAATTACAGCATCTTATCGACCAAAAACAATAAAACAGTCATACCACCCAAGTGTCATGTATCGATGGAGATGGTGCTGGAGGGAAAACACATATCCTATGCTAACCTCTAAATTTATGCTTTCATCTTTTAAAGGACCACTATAGGCACCCAGACCACTTCAGCTTAATGAAGTGGTCTGGGTGCTAGGTCCATCTAGGTTTAACCCTTTTTGCTGTAAACATAGCAGTTTCATAGAAACTGCTATGTTTACCTATGGGTTAATCCACCCTCTAGTCGCTGTCTCATTGACAGCCGCTAGAGGCGCTTCCGCGCTTCTCACTGTGATTTTCACAGTGAGAAGACGCCAGCACCCATAGCAAAGCATTGAGAATGCTTTCCTATCGACTGGCTGAATGCGCGTGCGGCTCTTGCCGCGCATGCGCATTCAGCCGATGACGGCGAAAAGGAGGAGGAGAGTTCCCCGTGCAGAGGGAGCACCACGGGGGAAAACAGTTAAGATTTAACCACTTCCACCCCCTAGAGCCCGGCGGGAGGGGGGCGGGGACCGAGAGACCCTATAGTGCCAGGAAAACAAGTATGTTTTCCTGGGACTATAGTGGTCCTTTAAGTAAATCCATACCCCCTAACAGCAGTGTCCAGTAAAGCAGGAAGTCAATGGGCAGGGTAAAAGGGTGGGTCACTGACACGCATCATGAGACCAGAACTGCTGGAAGGCCAACCTGGCATGAATGCATGTCAGACTGCCTGCCAATCATGCAGGCTGGCATACTAAGGGCATACTATGCAGGCAGCAACCTGAGCTTGACAAAAATGCGTCAAATTATGCTCCTACTCCACGCTTTCTAAGGACTGTCCCCTAGCACTTGCAGGTCCACTCCTCTCCTAACCTTCATATTAGCAGGCAGAAGCTCCTGGTACATAGTCTGGGACAGAGAAAAGGTGTATGTAGTGAGTGTAGAAGAAAAGGAAATTGCCACAGTATTACCTTAACTAATTTCATTGTCAGCCAGTCCATCCAGGTTTTGTTCCCATACATCTCTTAAGCTTCCATACTTTAGCAAGAGTATGCGAAGAGTTAGGGTTGCCATCTTTCTTGGAAAAAAAATACTGGCCTTTATTATTTACATAATTAATTATGTATGCTTGACATCAGATGATGTAAATCACAAGGAGTGACATAAGAGAAAATTCTGTAAAATCACCAAAAAGCTACTTACAGTTTGATTCTGCTGTATAGATGGATTGCTCCCAGTGTCTCAGTGTCCTTATGTCGCCCAGTCCCTTGTCTCCCAGTGTCTCAGTTTCCCCATTTCTCCCAGTGTCCCCTAGTGTCTGTGTCCCCAGGTCTTACAGTGTTCCTATTTATAAGTGTCCCTATGTATCACAGTGTGTCAGTGTCCCCTCGCGTCTCCATGTCGTCCAGTGTCCCCTTGTGTTTCAGAGTCCCCATGTCTCCTAGTGTCCACTAGTGTCTGAGTCCCCATGTCACTAGGATAATAAGGGACACTGTGAGACATGGGGACAGTGAGACAGATGGGGAAACTTGGGGGACTTGTGGATACAGACATGGGGACACTGACACATTTGGGGGCACAAAGGCATTTGGGGACACTGGGAGACATAGGAACACTGGGAGATATGGTGACACTAAGACACTTGGGGACACTGAACGACATGGGGTCACTGGGAGCCATGGGGACACAGACACTGGGAGACATGGGGACACTGAGACACTTAGGGACTCCCGGGAGACATGGAGACACTTGTGGATACAGACATGGGGACACTGGGAGACATGGGAACACTGGGAGACATGGGGACCCTGAGACATTTGGGGACACAGAGACATGGGGACACAGACACTGGGAGACTAGGGGGCACTATGAGACATGGGGACACATACATTTGGGGACACTGGGAGACATGGGTACACAGATATGGGGACACAGACACTGGGAGACTAGGGGACACTAGGAGACATGGGGGCACTGAGACATTTGAGGACACCGAGACACTAGGGATACAGAGACATGGGGACACAGACACTAGGGTTACTGGCTAGGAGACTTGGGGACACTGGGAGACATGGGGACACTAAGACATTTGAGGACACTGGGAGACATGGGGACACAGATACTAGGGACACAGAGACACTAGGGACACAGACACATGGGGATACTGGCTGGGAGACATGGGGAAACTGCCTGGGAGACATGAGGACACTGAGAGACTGGGAGACATGGGGACACTGAGAGATTAGGGGACACTGAGAGACTAGGGGACACTGGGAAAATAGTGGACACTGGGAGTCTAGGGGACATGGGAAGACATGGGAACATGGTGTCCCTAGTGTCTGTGTCCCTATGTCTCTCAGCGTCTCCCAGTGTCCCCATGTGTCTCAGTGTCCCCATGTCTGTATCCTCATGTGTCTCCCAGTGTCCCTATGTCTCTTAGTGTCTCAGTCACCATGCCCCCTAGTGTCTGTGTCCCCATGTCACTAGGATACTAGGGGATACAGAGACATTGGGACACAGAGACACTAGGGGGCACTGGGAGACTTGGGGACACTGAGACACTCGGGGACACTGGGAGATATGGGGGCACTTGTGGATGCAGACATGGGGACACTGGGAGACATGGAGACACTGACTAGGGACACTGAGAGACATGGGAACACTGAGATACTGTGTCCCTAGTGTCTCAGTGTCCCCATGTCTCCCAGTGTCTCCAAGCGCCCGCAAGTCTTCCAGTGTCCCCTATAGGGCCGGATTAACATAGGGGCTGATGGAGCTGCAGCTCCAGGCCCAGGCCCATGGAATAGGCCCATTGAATTAAAGAAAAAATATATATTTGGCCTTCCAGTTCTTTGGGCAGACATGCCCTCTTTTTGGGCATGTTTGTCCCTTTCAGCAGTTCTGGTCTTATGATGCGCATCAGTGGCCCACCCTTTTACCCTGCCCATTTACTGGACACTGCTGGTAGGGGGTATGGATTACTTAAAAGATGAAGAGTCAAAAATGGGTCGCAAGAGAATACTGAGAACGGGCAGCAGCTGAAATAGCCTGCCCTTCGGTCGGTACCCGCTCAGTTCTCAAGCTGATTTTTGCTCATCTTGTGCCATTACAGAGAGAACATATCTGAAGCACATCAGACTGGTCCCACCCATACGGGCAGTCCAGATCCAAAATGCCAGCAAGTTCTCTCTGCACGAGAGATACAGGGCAGGCTATTTTAGCTGCTGTCTGTTCTCAGAATACTCTTGCGACCCATTTTTGCTCTCCATTCGTCTAAAGGGTAATACAGACATGGACCCCTTGCTCACGGTGCCTAGAGAGATACCAGCTATGCCTCACTGATGATGCCTAACAAGGCTGAAACTATCGTCTGGGGTTGCTGTATCTCTCGTGCAGAGAGAACTTGCTGGCATTTCGGATCTGGACTGCCCGTATGGGTGGGACCATTCTGATATGCTTCAGATATCCCATGGGCCTAGCCTGGAGCTGCAGCTACATCAGCCCCTATGTTAATCCGGCCCTGGCTTAAGGCACATGGAGGGGAAATATAAAGTTTGGTGTAAGGTTTGGTAATAGCCTAGTATTCCATTGGCGTTTAATATATGCAGTATAGCGCTCGTGCATTGGGGGTGAGGATGGGTACGTAGAGATAAATGGGGAGGGGAGATAATAACTGGGCATGGTGACTGGCTGTCGGCTTATGGAGCCAGAGGAGAAATAGTGGTCATTGTTAAAGACAAATCAGGCAAAAAATGAAAGGCAAAC